AGACTCTGTCTCAAAAGAAAAAAAAAGAAAGAAGGTTAAAGAGGAACTTTTGGCCGGGCACGGTGGCTCACACCTGCAATCCCAGCACTTTGGGAGGCCGAGGCGGGTGGATAGATACGAGGTCAATAGATCGAGACCATCCTGGTCAACATGGTGAAACCCCGTCTCTACTAAAAATACAAAAAATTAGCTGGGCATGGTGGTGCGTGCCTGTAATCCCAGCTACTCAGGAGGCTGAGGCAGGAGAATTGCCTGAACCCAGGAGGCGGAGGTTGCGGTGAGCCGAGATCGCGCCATTGCACTCCATCCTGGGTAACAAGAGTGAAACTCCGTCTCAAAAAAAAAAAAGAGGAACTTTTACATTCCAACAACTTGAAAAAAAAAAAGAGGGCTGGGCATGGTGGCTCATGTCTGTAATCCAAGCACTTTGGAGGCCAAGGCAGGCGGATCACCGGAGGTTGGGAGTTCAAGACTAGCCTGACCAACATGGTGAAACCCCGTCTTTATAAAAAAATAAAAAATAAAAATAAAAATAAAAGAGTAACTTCAACCCACAAATATATATAAAGTTTTTCAATAAACGTAAATAAAAGGACAGATAGGCTGGGCGCCGTAGTTCATGCCTGTAATACCAGCACTTTAGGATGCCAAGGCAGGGGGGAATCACATGAGGTTTGGTGTTCAAGAGAGACCAGCCTGATCAACAAGGAGACACCCTGTCTCTATTAAAAATACAAAATTAGCTGGGCATGGTGGCACATGCCTGTAATCCCAGCTACTCGGGAAACTAAGGCAGGAGAATTGCTTAAACCTGGAAGACATAGGTTGCAGTGAGTCAAGATCTTACCACTGCACTCCAGCCTTGGCAACAAGAGCAAACCTCTGTCAGATAAATAAATAAAATTGCTATGTGTACCTTTTCTTCATAATTCAATTATTTTCATATTTTTTGGAAGAAAACAACTTGAAAAAACCACTGCATAGCTATGTTAATGAAAATGCAACATACACAGAAATAATTTTGACATAAATAACAAAAGCTTCTACTGGAGACAGAGTAGTTTTTGGAGGTTATAAAGTTTTGTGTCTTTTTTCCTCTGAGACAGATTCTTATTCTGCCACCCAGGCTGGAGTGCAAGGCTGTGACACTGACTTACTGCAACCTCCGCCTTCCAGGTTCAAGCGACTCTCCTGCCTCAGCCTCTTGAGTAGCTGGGATTACAGGGGCCTACCACCCCACCTGGATGATTTTTGTATTTTTAGTAGAGACAGAGTTTTGCCATGTTAGCCAGGCTGGTTTTGAACTCCTGACCTCAGGTGATCTGCCAGCCTTGGAAAGTGGGTGTGAGCACCCGGCCAGGTAATGCAAATTTTACGTTTTATTATTATGCTATAACTTTAAGATGTTTAACATACCAGCAACAATAACCTTCCTCCAAATATCTACACAACACACTTCAGTTTTTCATACTGAAAGGAACGGACACTAACGTGATTGTTATATTCACATTGTAATCATGCTTAACCCACTTACGTGTTTACTAAAAACTAAAAGACAAAACTATTAGGCCGGGCGCGGTGGCTCAAGCCTGTAATCCCAGCACTGTGGGAGGCCGAGGCGGGTGGATCACGAGGTCAAGAGATCGAGACCATCCTGGTCAACACGGTGAAACCCCGTCTCTACTAAAAATACAAAAAATTAGCTGGGCATGGTGGCACGTGCCTGTAATCCCAGCTACTCAGGAGGTTGAGGCAGGAGAATTGCCTGAACCCAGGAGGCGGAGGTTGCGGTGAGCCCAGATCGCGCCATTGTACTCCAGCCTGGGTAACAAGAGTGAAACTCCGTCTCAAAAAAAAAAAAAAAAAAAAAAAAAAAAAATGAACCATCTTAAAAAAAAAAAAAAAAAAAAAAAAAAAAGGCAAAGCTATTTAAAATAATAACAATGGCTGGGCATGGCAGCTCACGACTGTAATCCCACCACTTTGGAAAGCTGAGGCAGGTGGATCACTTGCGATCAGGAGTTCAAGGCCAGTCTGGCCAACGTGGGGAAACCTCGTCTTTACTAAAACCACATAAATTAGCTGGCCGTGGCAGTGGGCACCAGCAGTCCCAGCTACTTGGGAAGCTGGGGCACAAGAATTGTTTGAGCCCAGGAGATGGAGTCTGTGGTTAGACATGATCACACCACTGCACTGTAGCCTGGGCGACAGAGTGAGACTCCATCACAAATAAATAAATAAACAGGCCGGGCGCGGTGGCTCTCGCCTGTAATCCCAGAACTTTGGGAGTCCAAGGCATGCAGATACCCTAAGGTCGAGAGTTTGAAGCCAGCCTGGCCAACATGGTGAAACCCTGTCTCTACTAAAAATACAAAAATTAGCCGGACACAGTGGCAGGCACCTGTAATACCAGCTACTCAGGAGGCTAAGGCAGGATAATCACTGGAACCCAGGAGGCGCAGGTTACAGTGAGCTAAGATTATTCCATTATACTCCAGCCTGAGCAAAAAGAGCAAATCTCAGTCTCAAAAAAATAAAGAGATAAAAAATAACTATGGGGTACTGGGCTTAGTACTGGAATGATGAAATGATCTGTACAAAAACCCCAATGACATGACTTTATCCATGTAACAAACCTTCACATGTAGCCCCAAACCTAAAGTAAAAAATAAAAAAATTTTAATTTCCTGCAGAATTTTTTCTAAAGCACCATAACGATTCAGAAAAACACAAGTATGAGACCTGCTCTAACGTCTGACACAGAACTGACAGTAGTGGGTCCCCGGTGAGGCTGGAAGGAGGGCAGAGGACAGGTCAGGGAAAGGAGGTGCTTTATGGCCAAGGGGCTAAGCTGCAGCTTTGCTTGGAGCTTTACCACAAAACAAATATGTACATCATGTGGTGTTTATTTATTTTTTTTTTTGGGATGGAGTTTCGCTCTTGTTACCCAGGCTGGAGTGCAATGGCGATCTTGGCTCACCGCAACCTCCGCCTCCTGGGTTCAGGCAATCCTCCTGCCTCAGCCTCCTGAGTAGCTGGGACTACAGGCACGCGCCACCATGCCCAGCTGATGTTTTGTATTTTTAGTAGAGATGGGATTTCACCATGTTGACCAGGATGGTCTCGATCTCTTGACTTCGTGATCCACCCGCCTCAGCCTCCCAAAGTGCTGGGATTACAGGCTTGAGCCACCGTGCCCGGCCCCATGTGGTGTTTAAATATAAAAATATATATTTAATAACTAGTAAGCTGGGAATAGTGGCTCACACCTGTAATCCCAACACTCTTGGAGGCTGAGGTGGGTGGATCACCTGAAGTCAGCAGTTTGAGACCAGCCTGGTAACATGGTGAAACTCTGTCTCTACTAAAACTTCAAAAAAAATTAGCAAGGTGTGGTCACACATGCCTATAATCCCAGCAACTTGGGGGGCTGAGGCAGGAGAATCCCTTGAACCTGGAAGGCGGTGGTTGCGGTGAGCTGAGTTCATGCCACTGCACTGCAGCCTGAACAACAGAGAGAGGCTTTGTCTGAAGAAATAATAATTGGAATAAAAATAAGCCTCCATCCTACAAGGATAAAAAAGAAGTACTGCTCCCATATTTGAGAAAAATTATAACCATTTTTACCGAAAACACCTGTTTCACAATCCTCTCCACAGTAACATCACAGTTCCATGAGCTTAATGCATTGAGAATGGTTTAATGAATCTCCTGTTATTATTTAGGTTGGTTTCATATTCTCAAAATAATGATGGAATAAAACACCTTGTATCATTCATGTCTGTGTGTGAACTTTCCATTCTAATGAGTAAGAATTTTGGAGTCAGAAACACAAAAGCTCACTAATTACCTAAAAATGTAGTATAAAATCAGGCAGAAAAAAATTTTTCTTTTTTTTTTTAAAGGAAATTTGGTTGTTTTATTCATAAGTAATTAAACTAGGCAAAATAGAACTGATGTCATTATGATGCAGGAAATACAAGACCTCTTTTCACAAATATCAGCATAACCAGAAAATAGTGGCTATAGTACAACAGAGGCAAAAGGGCCGAGGGAATCAATGAAGTACGTGACACCGGAACCCTTCACCTCAATCAAGCCTTTTTTTGTTTTTTGAGACGGAGTCTCCGTCTGTCGTCCAGACTGGAGGGCACTGGCGGATCTCAGCTCACTACAACCTCCACCTCCAGGTTCAAGCGATTCTCCTGCCTCAGCCTCCAGAGTAGCTGGGACTACAGGCACGTGCCACTACGCCTGGCTAATTTTTTGTATTTGTTTGTTTGTTTTTTTTTGTTTTTTGAGACAGAGACTGGTTCTGTCACCAGACTGGAGTGCGGTGTTGCAATCTCGGCTCCCTGCAACCTCCGCCTCCCAGGTTTATGCGATTCTCCTGCCACAGCCCCCCAAGTAGCTGGAACTACAGGCACATGCCACCATGCCCAGTCAATTTTTGTAATTTTAGTGGAGACAGGGTTTCACCATGTTGGCCAGGCTGGACTGAAACTCCTGATTTCAAGTGATCCACTCGCCTTGGTCTTCCAAAGTGCTGGGATTACAGGCATCAGCTACCACACTCGGCCATTATTGGACTCCCTTTCTAGAACTTACCGTGTACTTTGTGCACATTAATACGTGACTTCCATTGGCAGCTGCTCTACTCCTGGTCTACAGAGAGCTGACGGTGCATCCAGATGTGGCCCCTGAACAATCCCTGCTGCCCAACAGCCCTGACACTACGGGGCCCACACCCCATCTCCATTCCCATCTGGGCATGAGTCCTCTTCCCAGGACCATGCCCAGTGCAGCCTCTTCCCAAGCTCATGTCACTGGGTCACGGGAGCTGGAATCTAAGCGAGATGAGAGGGACTGAGGATAGGCATAGGTGAGTGCCAGCAAACCTGTCAGGCAGGACGCTTCAGACTCAGAGAAGATTCCCAGCTCCAAGGCCCAGCATTTCTGAAAGGAAGGAGACAGAACATCCACCGAGAATATCATCTCACCTGAGGAAGAGCCATCCCTGACTCCTTTGCTTTCCTCTTCCTCTTCCGGGGTTCTTCCTCACGTGTCAAGAGACTTTAGAAGTCGATCCTGAAGGTCAAAAATATGTTTTTTACTGCTCAGAATCAACACACCCCCTCCCTGGAACACAACGACACATACAAAGGAGACCTCACCCTGAGGAAATACGGTTCCCTCTGCTGCCCACTGCACCAGGAATGATAAACTCCTACAAGAAAACTAAGTGATTTTTGATCCCTTTCTTCAGAACCCGCTTCCCTCCCAGAGATGCCCACACACAGACTGCATCAGTGGGGAGTTGGGTTGGAATGAGCTCCCCTTCAGGGTACAGACCCAGCCCTAAAGCCCAGGCAGAGGCTGGGTGTGGTGGCCCAGAACTTTAATCCCAGCACTCTGGAAGGCCGAGGGAGGTGGATCTTATGAGCACAGGAGTTTGAGACCAGCCTGGGCAACATGGTGAAACCCCATCTCTACCAAAAATACAAACACTTAGCCAGGCATGCTGGTACACATCTCTGTGTATGTGCTCCCCGCTAGTTAGGAGGCTGAGGTGGGAGGATCACTTGAGTCCAGGGTGTGCAGGTTGCAATGAGCCAAGATTGCACCACTGCACTCCAGTCTGGGTGACATGAGTAAGACTCTATCTTAAAAAAAAAAATCTCAGGCATGAGGGCTCATGCCTGTAATTTCAGAACTTTGGGAAGCAGAGGCAGGCGGATCACAAGGTTAGGAGTTCAAGACCTGCCTGGCCAAGAGACCAGCCCAGTCAATATGGTAAAACCTTGCATCTACTAAAAATAAAAAACTTAGCCGTGTGGTGGCCTATGCCTGTAATCCCAGCTACTTGGAAGGCTGAGGCAAGAGAATCACTTGAACCTGGGAAGTGGAGGTTGCAGTGAACCAACATGGTGCCATTGCACTCTGCCCTGGGCAACAAGAGCAAATCTCCTTAAAAAAAAAAAAAAAAAAAAAAAAAGTGCTATGTAGGCCAGGTGCAGTGCTCATCCCTGTAATCCCAACTGCGATCCCAGTACTTTGGGAGGCCAAGACAGGAGGATCCTTTGAGCTCAGGATTTTGACACCAGCCTTGGAAACAGTGATACCCCATTTCCACACACACACACAAAAATACAAAACCTAGTCAGGCTTGGTGGCTCATGCCTGTGGTTTCACCTACTCGGGAGGCTGAGTTAGGAGGATCACTTGAGCCTACCAGGTTGATGCTGCAGTTAGAGATCACCCCACTGCACTCCAGCCTGAGCCACAGAACCACACCCTGCCTCAAAATATTAATTAAATTATAAGTATTATGTAATCACAGAAAGTAATTATTTGTTGATTTGTTTTGCTTTTTTGAGATAAAGTTTCACTCGTTTCCCGGCCTGGAGTGCAATGGTGCAATCTCCACTCACTGAAACCTCCGCTTCTTGGGTTCAAGCGATTCTCCTGCCTCAGTCTCCCAAGTAGCTGGGATTGCAGGCATGCACCACCACGCCCAGGTAATTTTGTATTTTTAGTAGAGGCAGGTTTTCTCCATGTTTGTCAGGCTGGTCTCGAACTCCAGACCTCAGGTGATTCACCCACCTTGGCCTCCCAAAGTGCTGGGATTACAGGCGTGAGCCACTGCGCTCAGCCCATAGAGTGATTTTTTTCCACTTCACTGCCCCACTTCCTACCCCACTCTGGGAAAAGGGAAGAAAGTGACTCAAAACTGAATAAATCACTGCCCTCTAGCTGAATAAGGATTCCAAGTGGAAGCTAACCTCTGATGCCAAGCTTTATAGAATGCACATGTCTTATAGATATGAATATGTAAATTCTCAATCTCATCTGTATAATTTTTTTTTTTTTAGACAGAGTCGCACTCTGTTGCCAGGCGCTAGGCTGGAATGCAGTGGCACAATCTTGGCTCACTGCAACCTCCGCCTCCTGGGTTCAAGCAATTCTCCTGCCTCAGCCTCCCAAGTAGCTGGGACTACAGGTGCACGCCACCGCACCCAGCTAGTTTTTGTATTTTTAGTAGAGACGGCGTTTCACCATGTTGGCCAGAATGGTCTTGATCTCTTGACCTCGTGATCCGCCCGCCTCGGCCTCCCAAAGTGCTGGGATTACAGGCTTGAGCCACCGTGCCCGGCCCTCATCTGTATAATTTTTTAAAGTTCTAAGTTATTAGATAATATAACTTATGAAGTCAACATGTCCCAACTAATCATATCCAATGAATTCATCCACTCACCTGAATCCAAAATCTCCCAACCCTTTTTTTATTCTGAGACAGGGTCTGGCTCTGTTAACCAGGCTAGAGTGCAGTGGCTTGATCTCGGCTCACTGCAACCTGGACCTCCTGGGCTCAAGTGACTCTCCTGCCTCAGCCTCCAGAGTAGCTGGGAGTACAGGTATGCACCATCATGCCCAGTTAGTGTGTGTGTGTGTGTGTATGTGTGTGTGTGTGTGTGTGAGAGTGTCAGAGATGGGGTCTCACTATGCTGCCCAGGCTGGTCTGGAACTCCTGCACTCAATCGATCCCCTTGCCTCAGTCTCCTAAAGTGCAGGGATTACAGGCGGGAGCCACTGCACCCAGCCCGTCGTTCTTCATTACTGTGCTTCCCTCCCTAATTCTGTACATCTCTCTCATTCTCCCCTTGTCTCTCTGGCTGTTGTGGTTGTTGTTGTTTGTTTTTTTCCTGCAACCTCGGCCTCCTAGGTTCAAGCAATTTTCCTGCCTCAGCCCCTGTAGTAGCTGGGATTACAGACATCAGCTGCCACGCCCAGCTAATGTTATATTTTTAGTAGAGACAAAATTTCTCCATGTTGGTCAGGCTGGGCTCGATCTTTCAACCTCAGGTGATCCACCTGCCTTGGCCTCCCAAAGTGCTGGGATTACAGGTGTGAGCCACTGCGCCCAGCCTCTAGCTCTTTGCTTTTTCGCTGGGATTCTGCTCCTCACTTTGTACCCCTCCCCTCTCCTGCTGTTTATCCCCTTCTTCCCTCTATTCCTCCTTTTCCACCTCTTCTGCTCCATCCTCACAACTTATTTAAACTCTTGTTGCTCCTTCTCTGGAATCTTTCCATTGTCCTCAATCTCTATATTTCTGTCTCTTCTCCCATATCTGCGCCTCCTCTGCTCTCCCTGTTAAATTCTCTCTTCCCTATTATACCCCCCTACCCACCCTCTGGCACCCCACATCCTCAGGTGTCCTCCCTGCTGTGGTTCCCTCTGTTCTCCTTGTCACCAGCACCACTCTGCTCTGTCTGCCCCAGCTCCAAATCCCTCCTCGTCTCCCGCACTCTCCTGAGCCTCCCTCTTTGCTGCCCCGTCCCTACCTTGCTGTCCTTCATCTCTCCGTACATCACGCTTTTCTCTACATTTCTCCACTTGCTTTTCTCCTCCTTTTCTTTTTTTCCCCCCACTTTTGCTGTCTCTTGGCAAATCCCTCACCCATCCTCTACTTTGCCATCTGTTATGGGTGTTTCTCATTCTTCTTTTCTCAGACTCAGGTTTCCTACTGCTCTCTGTGTGTCTCCTGATGTCTTTGGCCCACACAATCACATGAGGGTTTGGAGTAAGACGCCTGAATACCGGAGAAGCACATTTTTACAGGGGCTGGAGCTGGGCAGGCAAGAACATCCCATGTCACACGACAGGCCCTTGGGCACCTCCCCAATGCGGACTCAAGAAAAGCGCTGACTGCGCAGGGGCGATCTGGGGAGCGGCAAGGCCTCTCACGAGGAGGGACGTGTGGGGCGATGGCGCCTTAGGACAAGGATGGGGTATGCAGGATCCCACAACCAGGCAGAGGACGCTGCCTCCCCGGGACTGGGGCCGCGGCGCTGCACTCCAGGGCAGGAATCTACCTCTCGGGTGAGGACTTCAAAAAGCGAGGGGCGGGAAGAGTCAGAAAAAGGTTTTGAGCAGGAAAACGATGCGATAGAACGTGTATATATCGCTCCATAGCAGAAAAACCGGGTGGGGACCTGCCTCGGGCGACTTTCAACCCAAAAGGAAGCGATCCCCGGACTCTCAGGGGGTCTCAATTTGCTCTGGGTGAAGGAATATGTGAGAGAATTTCCAGGTCTTTGGGTCCCCACGACCCAGGTACAGATCAGCCTGGGACCTGGGAAGCGCAGACTTAATACGAGAGAGTGAAACTCACGTGCCACGGTGGGAGCTTCACTCTACGCCGTCCGTTTCCGGGTTTGCGCGAATCTGCGCAGGACGGAAGCCAGGCCTGAGCGGCCCCGTGGGCAGGTGGGTGGGGCCTGGGCGACGTAGGGGCGGGGCCTGGGCGACGTAGGGGCGGGGTGAGAGGCACAGAGACCTTGCCTCTCAGAACCAGCAGAGGGCGGGGCCGGGCTGGACTTGCGCATCTATCAGCCTCGCTCCCACCGCCTCTGCTTTTCGAGTTACAGTTCCATCTGGGGCAGTATTATTAGGGATGAAAGTACAACACTGAGCTTCAATCATGACGCAAACTCCACCTTTCTCCGCTAATATCATGTCTAATGTTATTGTTTTCCCAGGTGGATCCTAACTTCTCGGCTATTCCTTTAATTGCATCTCTTGTATAATTAACGAATTGTTGCTGGTTGTAATAAATATAACTTATCCAGTCTACATTTTTGTTAATACTTACTATCCCACATAATGACTTAAAACGTTCAGCTAATTGACTCTGAGCTTCAAATTGATCTGTAACTCCCCATGGCACCCCAATGGCATCTATATAAACATCAGGATCAAAAGACTCACAAGGTACACTCCTTGTACGACCAGGCTTAGCTGTTATTTTCTTTGGTGGATGAAATGCCAGAGTGAGAGGGATAGCCAACTGATTAGAGTGCAAGTACCATTTCAGTCATTTGGCAGTGTCTGATAAAGGTCCACCACAATGTGGGTAACCCCCCATATAGGCACCGAGGAATGAGAGCTAAGCAGAACCCTGGCACAGTTAGGGCTTGAGGAATATCTCACTTTATAGTGTTACTACTCAGCTATTTCCTTTATATAATCCTTTACATAATCATATAGTAGTTTATAGAAATAGGGCTTGAAGGCTCCCTTTCTATAATTCTCTCTATATAATCATATAATAGTTGATAGCATGAGTGCCTAAAGAATATTCCCTACATATATACCTATAATTATATCTTAGTTCATAATCAGAGGAATGCCTAGAGTGGACACAGTACAGAGCATGAATTAAGAAATAAGCAGCTTATAATTGGAGG